CCCCGGCCCTCGGTCCCGCGGCCGCTGCTGTCCCCAGACATAGCGCCAATTCGCCGTGCAACTTCGGAACGGCGGAAGTTCGCGCCAGAAACTGAAACCCCTGCTCTGCGCCAGCGCCTACTCCCCGCGGAACGTGGCTCCCGGGCCCGAGCGAGCGCACAGCGACGCCTGTGGCTGGAGGCCGGCGACGGGCCCGGCCAGGTCTCCAAGGCGTCTGGGGGGTGCACAGGAGGGGTCTGGCGAGGATCCTTTGTTCCCTTGACAAGATGTGTAATGAGCTCCCTCTTACTCCACACTGCAGGGCCGTGAGAATCCTGGTTTTCTGCCCCACCCCCCCTTTCCCACCCCACTGGACCTGCATCTTCCCTAGGTCCCTTTGCCTGCCCAGGACACAGCCGCAGCCTGGCACCTACACGGGCACGCAGTGCATGTGTGTTAAACGAGGTTCCTGCCGTGGAGCAGGATGAGCACGGGACGTGGAGACCAGATGCGCTCTGCTGCTCACCTGTGCCCTCAGTTTTCCGGTGTCATCATGGCTGGCGAGGGGGGGCGGTGGATGAATCAAATGTTTATGTGCAGCTGGCAATACCACCTTTTGTGAGGATGGCAGAACAGACAAATTAACAGGTAAACTCTGTTAACCATCCTTCTAAATATCTGCAACAGAATGTCACCAGAGCACAGGGTTTTGGTCTAGGTCCTGCTGCCCCCCTCACAGAAAACCAATTACTGAGACACCATTATTACCAAGGAAGGAGGTTTTAGCAGGGTGCTGCACGCAGGGAGATTGGAGCTCAGACTCAATCCATTGCCCTGACCAACTAAAATTAAGGGTTTATACAGTTGCAGGGAAGCAATGCAACAATGTGTGAGAAAGGAGGAACTTTCCTCTTTTCAGAAAGGGGAAGGAAGCTATGGGGATGCCTGAGGGGCTTGGCATCTCATTGTCTGGAATGCGGTGATCTGGTGAGTTTCAGTTTTTTGATACTTTTTGAGAGGCCCTGGGGGTCCTTTCCTGAGGAAGGAACTCAGATAAAACAAAGGTAAATTTCAACCTTAAGACTAGAAAACATAATTTCTAAGTTTATTTAAAAAATAATAAACAGTCTATGGGATTATTGGGTTGATTTTAATGACAGTTTATGTTCACATTTGATTGATTTTTTTTTTTTTTTTTAATTAGACAAGCTCTTGCTCTGCTGCCCAGGCTGGAGTGCAGTAGCACTATCTTGGCTCACTGCAAACCCATCTCCCGACTTCAAGTGATCCGCCCACCTCGGTCTCCCTAAGTGCTGGGATTACAGACGTGAGCCACCAGGCACAGTCTGATTCTCAAACTAGAGGATTCTAAGAATACCTCCTGAAGGGCCCAATAAAGATGGAATTATGTTAAGTATACTTTGAAAGATAAATATATGAATTTCACTCCATATATTTTGGATCGTTTCGAGTATTGTTTCCCAAAAGGTCTCTTTGGTGCTAAGAACACATTTTCTCGAAGGAACAATATTGTAAGTTGGGTTACTACACAACCTACAAATATACCATTTTGTGCATTGTGTCTGCTAAACTTGAGTTAGGCATTGTTCATTGCTGTCAAACAGCTACTACTTCAGCCACCCCTGCTTATCTGTATTTCATGAAGGGGACACGTGTGTGCCTGCTTCCTTAGATGAAATGTGATTGCGCTATCCAGGTCAAGGTAATCTCATTCCCCTTCCCCAGTGACTGGTCTAGGGTCATGTGATGCAACCTGGGTCCGTGAGATGTGAGAGGGTTTCCCAACTGGATGGAAAAGAAAACCCTTGACCCGCTACCCCCTTTGAGATGGCTGGCATAAGAATGTGGAGCCTGCCAATTAGCGGACATGGTGGTGCATGCCTGTAATCCCAGTTACTCGGGAGGCTGAGGCAAGATAACTGCTTGAACCCAGGAGGCGAAGGTTGCAGTGAGCTGAGATCATGCCATTGCACTCCAGCCTCGGTGACAAGAATGAAACAATGTCTGAAAAAAAAGAATGTGGAGCCTGCCATATTGGCAGCATCTGGTACTCAGGATGTGACAAGCATGAGGAAAGACCAGAGTGCTGAGGACAGTGGAGAGCAAAGATGGACATGGCTGAATTGCTGAATCAACCACACACCTCTAGACTTCCTGTGAAGTAGGCCGTAAATCATGGTTTAAACCAGTTAATTGTTTCGTAGTTGTTGCTTGCAGCTCAGTGTTCTGTAACAGAATACTTAGCGTTCTTCCAGGTGAAAGTTCCTTCCAAACTCCACACAAAAATACCTGAAATAGGCTGGGTGCGATGTCTCATGCCTGTAATCCCTGCACTTTGGGAGGCCAAGGTGGGTGGATCACCCAAGGTCAGGAGTTCGAGACCAGCCTGGCCAACATGATGAAACCCCGTCTCTACTAAAAATACAAAAATTAGCTGGGTGTGGTGGTGGGCACCTGTAATCCCAGCTACTCAGGAGGCTGAGGCAGGAGAATCACTTGAACCCGGGAGGCAGAGCTTGCAGTGAGCCGAGATCGCGCCACTGCACTCCAGCCTGGGCGACAGAGCGAGACTCCGTCTCAAAAAAAAAAAAAGAATCAAAAATTAGCTGGGCATGGTGGTGCACACCTGTAATCCCAGCTACTCGGCTCCTGAAGCTGGAGAATCGCTTAAACGTGGGGGGCGGAGGTTGCAGTGAAACAAAATCATGCCACTGCACTCCAGCCTGGGCGACAGATTTAGGTGTTCCCAGACTACTTTTCATACTCCCTGTTGCCTGCAGGGTCTGATTAAGCAACCCCTCAGCCCCACTGTTGCCTTTTGTTGACCCTTCTTCATCTCCTGAGTATCCTGTGCCTGCCTGCCCCATTCCCTTCTCCTTTCATTTATTTATTTATGTTACAAACTGAGACCATCAAATCCATGAATGCCAAGCGTCCATTGTTTGCTGAGCAAACTAAGGCTCCATTGACTTAATAATTTTGCCCTAAAATGTTGCTTTAAAAACTGGAAATAGCTGAGGGGGAAATGATGTGGGGATAAAGAACTGACTAGATGCATAGTAAATATCAAGGGAGTGATTGAGTCAAGCAAGACTAACAGCGAGGAGACTGAGAGTCCAGGCTATGAAGGGAAGACAAAGCTTAAGAGGGTAGTGGAGGGATTTAAACAGGTGAAGGAGAAAGACCCGGTTCCTGAAGGTTTTGATGAAGTTTAGCAAATGCAGTAGACTAAGATGGGAAATGGTAAGGAGGCTTTGGTCAAAGAAGAAACAGAAATTGGAGAGCATATATAAAGTGAAAAAGGAGACATTTAAAAAACTAGTCATGGCCGGGCACGGTGGCTCACGCCTGTAATCCCAGCACTTTGGGAGGCCGAGACGGGCGGATCACGAGGTCGGGAGATCGAGACCATCCTGGCTAACACGGTGAAACCCCGTCTCTACTAAAAATACAAAAATTAGCTGGGTGTGGTGGTGGGCACCTGTAATCCCAGCTACTCAGGAGGCTGAGGCAGGAGAATCACTTGAACCCGGGAGGCGAAGGTTGCAGTGAGCTGAGATCACACCACTGCACTCCAGCCTGAGCAACAAGAGTGAAACTCCATCTCAAAAAACGAACAACAACAAAAACCCTGAAATAACTCGTTCAATTCAAAGGTATTTGAGGTAGGGCTGGGCGCGATGGCTCACACCTGTAATCCCAGCACTTTGGGAGGCCGAGGTGGGTGGATCATGAGGTCAAGAGATTGAGACCACCCTGGCCAACATGGTGAAACCCCGTATCTACTAAAAATACAAAAAATTAGCTGGGCGTGGTGGCATGCGCCTGTAATCCCAGCTACTTGGGAGGCTGAGGCAGGAGAATCTCTTGAACCAGGGAGGCGGAGGTTGCAGTGAGCCAACATGGCACACCACTGCACTCCAGCCTGGTGACAGAGCGAGAGTCTCTCTCTAAATAAATAAATAAATAAAAATATTTGAGGTGTACTCATAGGCTAGACATCCTACAAAGCACAACAGGGCATACAGATAATTCAGGTACTTGCTTTTGCTTTACAGGGTATCACCAGAAGACAAGCATTAAACTGTTTCTAAAATTCATGTGGGGAGCCAGGTGTGGTGGCTCATACCTGTAATCCCTGCACCTTGGGAGGCTAAGGCAGGTGGATCAGTAGAGGCCAGGAGTTTGAGACCAACCTGGACAACAAAGCAAGACCCTGTCTCTACAAAAAATATATATATATCTCTCTCAACATTAGCCAGGTATGGTGGTGCACACCTATAGTCCCACTGACTCAGGAAGCAGAAACAGGATGATCCCTTGAGCCCAGGAATTTGATGCTACAGTGAGCTATGATCATGCCACTGCACTCCAGCATGGGTGACAGAGCAAGACCTTGTTTAAAAAAAAAAAAAAATTATATGGAAATGCAAGAGACCCAGAATAGCCAAAACAATCTTGAAAAAGGACAAATTTGGCAGGACTCAGACTTCTT